TTTAGTAAAATTGAGGGGGAAAGTCAGTCACGCTCATAATTTTGCATTACTAAGAATTCATCAAGCGACACATGGAGAGCCTCCTTTTATTTCTGATTCTATCTTGTTTGCTTTGCTTTAAGTCTAAACCACTGTATATCAGAATTACTCCTACTGGTATTTTTTTGTTTTTGGAGGAAGGGTGCAGTACTGGGGTTTGAACTCAGAACTCAGAATTTCACACTTGCTAGGCAGATGCTCTACCACTTGAGCCACACCAGCAGATTTTTAAACTTTTTTTTTGAGCTAGGGTTTCACTTTATGTCCAGGCCAGCCTGGTCAGCATTCCTCCGATTTGTGCTTCCTCATGTAACTGGGATGACCAGCATGGGTCACTTCCCCCAGCCATTAATTGAGGTGGGAGTCTCACAGTTTTTGCCTGGGCTGGTATTAAACTGTGATCTTCCTGTCTCTGCCTCTCGAGTAGCTGGGATTACAGGATTGAACCACCTCAACAGGCCTTTTTATATTCTTTTTTTCTTTCCTGTGTCTGGACTCTATCCCACATCAACTAAATCTAAGTCTTTGGAGATGGAGTCTGAGAATTGGTAGATTTTTTAAAGAACCAAGTGATTGTGCTATGAAGTCAATGCTGAAAATCACCAATCTAAAACCCTTCCCCAAACCTGCAGATTAGCAGTGTGCTCAGACTATTATCTCTTTTTAACTTGTTCAAGGAGCTTCCCAGCTAGTTCTCATTGTATCTTCACAACTCTGTAGGCAGCTCAGATACTATTACTAATAGTGGTCAGAGGAGAAAGTAAGGCCTAAAAATGTTACAGGAGTTGCCCCAGGGTACCAGCTAGTTACTGGCAAAGATACAGTGTAACCTCACCTGAAGCAATCTCTTCAGCCTTCTCAGTCACTGGACTCCTCTACCATTAGTGACTAACCTTGATGCATATGTTAGCACTAAAAAAGCAACCATAGACTTACATGATCAAATTCCAGAAATACAACGTATAACAACATTTTAAAAGACTCGATTTAGGGTCAGTGTACCCAGAAGCCTTTTCCAGAAGTCCATTATGTGATTTAGAATGTGCTTATTTCTATCCACAGCTTCTTCTGCACCCACACCACCTTCCACTAAGGCCCTTTCTCCCAGAGGCTGCAACATTTGGGTAGTTTCCATTAGGATATTATTTTTGGAAAAGTATTTTTAAAAGATTAAATAGTCATAGAATTGCAAAGGTAAGGAGAACTTTACTGATCAAGTTTCTCCACACCTTCTGAAAGATGAAGAACCCAAAGTCCTTTTTGATTTAATATATATCCAGTAATAACACTATGCCAAACACCTCACATCTAGTATTTTAATTTAACCTTCAGGATAACTGGAAAGAGGGTACCACCACCCCCCCCACCATCCTTATCATTCTTACTCAACAAATTAAAAAAACTGAAACTTAGAGAGGCTCACCAACTTGCCCAAGGCCCAGTGCTAGTAAGTAGAGACTTGGTATATACATTCCATTCAGCACCTCAGCTCTTATCCTCTGCCCTCCACCAGAGTGACAGTAAAGTAAAAAAGGAAAGGATTGATATATCCTTCTGAAATGCCAATGAAGGTGGTCAGTGAAAACTTCTTCCAAAAGGAGGAAAAATGGCATCTGACCTTGACTGGCACACATATATCAGATTTCAGGAGCCATTCCAGTCTGGAATTCAAGAGCTATTGTGCCATAAAAGTGACAGGGAGGGCAAGGTGTGAACTGGAAGAAAGAGGGGAAGGGGCAGATGGAAAGAGGCCAGGAGTCAGATTAATATAGGGCCTAAGTGACTGGTGAAGGAATTTAGATTTCATCTGTAGGCAAGTGGGAATCCCATGGAGGTTTTCAGAAGCAAGATCCTTAAAAAATGTGAACAGGGTTTTAAAAATATAAATCTCATGGAAGTTTCCAGATTGAATTAGGGGGCAGAGCTCGGTATGGAGGAGACCAACTGAGAAGCTGCTTCACTTCTAACCATGTGCAGTGTTTGCATCTTGCTCCTCCCACTGCTAGAGGCTTCAAGGCACCTCCATATCTGATTCATGATTCCTGTATCTCAATACTGTCCTGGAATTGCTCAGGTGACAGGGACCTGAACGTGGGCACTGGGAATGAGGACAGATATGAGGGGCATTGCAAGGACCTGGTTACTGCTCAGAAGTGGAGAGAGTGGCAAGAGAAAAAGAAAAGCAGAGCAGAGAAAGACTTCAATGCTTCAAACCTAGGAGAAGGGGAACAGATAATAGTATATGAAAAAGAATATACACTCAAAAGCATCACAAAGAGGTGGATGGGATGGCTTGACCAGGGTCTCAATGCAACAAGTATTTATTAAGCAACCACTATGTGCTAGGCATTAGAAGAAGGATGAGGAAGACCAGTGTTTGCTCTCATATTACCAGCCAGAGAAAAACGCAGAGCAGGACAGCCAGACGCCAGGCTTCTAAGTAAGGCACTCTCCCTTATTACCTAGCCTTAATTCATGGAGCATCATCACAAATATCCACAAGCAACAGAACGTGCTTAAAGAATGGAAAAGGCCTCTCAAATCTATTAAGCTCTCTGCTGAATTATATTACAGTTAAGGCAGAGTGCAGTAAGCACTTGCTGTTCCGCGGCTGGACTTTTTCACCTATTACTCTAATAGCATATCCTTTCTCGTCCAGGTCTCACATCCCCACTCTCCAGCATCCTCCCCATCACATGACCCTTAATTTTCTTCATTGTCTTGGGACCCGACATGTATTTGCACATGCAATGCCATGTTCTGTTTCTCTGGTGGGAAAGAACCCTTTGCAGAAGCAGGAACTTGATCTTATTATAGTTGCTGCCAGCCACATGGTAAGCCCTCCGGAGGAAATATTTATTAAATACAGTACAATGGTAGAAAAAAAAAAAAGCGAATAAACCTCATCAAGATGAAGATCTCAAACTAAAGTAGGCCCGTTTTCAGTTCTTTAGAGCAACATCTGAGAATTAAGTGTCTCGGAACAGCAAAGCCATTTTGAGGCAGGGGTTGAACCGAAATCCAGGGGGTCCATACAAGATCAGTGTCTGGCCTTGACGGTTGCATACATTACGGGAATGCCCACCCACCCGGCGCGAGATATTTGACAATGAGGCCAGCCAGCTGCCGAGCTCAGGTTTTATTTCCGTTCTTTTTCTGACGTCAGAAAAAGCACGAGTTGCTGCACAGTTTCTTCCATCAAGGTGACAAATTACAGCCTTGCTGGGCCCTGCATTCTGCAAACCGTAGATTTATTCTCCCCTCCCCCTTAGATTAAAAAAATGTTAAAAACCCACTGCAGAGATGTCAAATTCCTTTCCCAACGCAAATGCATGCATACATACTGTTTACTAGCGGCGGGGCTTTTCCACTCTTAACTACGGACATCGCCATGGACTGGTCTGACAAGTACTCGATCTCAGAGGCAATTTGCTTTCCACGGAGAAACAGGCTTGTAAAAACCCTGGGTCCGCGCCGCAGAGCGAGCGAGAAGGCGAGACACAAAGGACTCCAATTGTAGCACCACCTTCCCCAGCCCACGGCAGCCTGTGAAAGGCACTGGGAACGGCGTGACGCGGTTACCGCGAAATTCCTTTTGCCGCCATATACACTTGTGTGTGCCCTGTGTGACTACGGTCGGGTAGAAACCTCGGGTTGGTCGATCTAGCAGGGAAGCGGCACCCAGGCAGCCCATTAACCCGCAGGGTTCCCGTGGGTGCTAAGGGGCCCGACGCACGTGGTAGAGGATTATTTGGGGTGAGGGCAGGGCGTACAAGAGATCAAAGGCGCAGTTTCCTCCCTGTGTACAGCCCAAGACTTTAAAGGCCTTTTGTGGACACATTTGGGGTCGCAAGCGAGGTGTCCAGGATAGCGAGGGGGGGTGCAGGGGGGGGGAGTAGGGGAGACTGGAGCAGAGCGCAGTAGGTTCCCGGCCGACCGCATGCAGTGACCTTTGTTCATCAGCCCCTGCGGATCTGGCTTGGGGCGGCGGGGGGGTGGGGGAGCTGGGGAGACGACAAAACCAACTACCTTCCCTCTTCTTCTGGGCGGGAAAGGACAGTGACTCACTGCCGGCATCCTTTACCAATGCCCCCCCCACACCCCGCATCCTACTACTGCTGGTCATTACCGAGCGAGGGACCCAGCGCAGGGGAGCAGTGCAACGTGCTTCTGTTTACTCCAGCTCCGCGGGCCATCAGCTAGTCCCCGAACCCACCCGGCCGCACGCGGCACCCCCGGAGACACCGCCTGCTCTCCTCCGCGCTGCGGACACAGGAAATTCCCCCGAAATGGGAATTCAGACACTCCTCGGGGACGCCTTCCCGCCCTCACATCGCCAGCGCTCTCGCTCCAGACCTGTGTGGTCCCTCACTCTTGTAAAATGTAAGCAGATCTGCCGCCACCCGCCACAGTGAAACAGACACAAAAAGTAAGCCGATGCACGCAAAGGTGAAATCTGGGGCGCTCTGCTGCTGCGCGCGTTAGGGGAAGAACAGGGGACTTGGACTCCTCCTTTCCGAAAAGCAAAATCCAAAGGCATCCGAGACCGCCGCGCTCTCCTCTCCTAAGTCTCTACGTGGCCGCTAAAACATCCTGTCCTTCCCCGTCGCTGCTCCCTTGGTCCTTAAAAATCGCCTTACCTCGGGAATGAAAGGGAAAGGTGGCAAAAGGCGACGTCAAAGTGTCCGCCCTTCTGGGACGTTCCTCCTGGCAGTTTGATGTCCTTTGTGTCAAGGTCTGACTGGGAAAATGTGGCCCCAGTCAGAGAGTGCAGGGCGGGAAGGCTTGGCGTGGCGGATTTCCGAGGAAGGTGAAGGGCGGAGGTTCCAGGCGACCTTCAGGCAGAGTGGCGTGGCTGCCCGGCTCTGCGGTCTCTCCTCCTCCTTTCCGGGCTGATTGCATCAGAATCTCCCCCCACCTCCAACCCCCACCCACACTCTGCTCGCCAGCCTCGCACTTACAGAGACACGCTCGGGCGCTGAGGGTCCAGAGTCGCAGTCATTTCCTACTGGGGGGCGCGCCGCCCTTGGGCATCCATGGCTCGTGATGGTTTAACCAGGAAAGTCAGGCCATTCCTCCACGTCCCGCGCGCCGTCTCCTCCCCTCCAGCACACCCGCTCTTTAACCAAAGCTGCGTGTCACTGAGCCGCGCTCGTCACATGGTGTCACTGCTGGCGGCCGCGCTTTTGCTGCCTCCTTCTTGCTGCTCCCTGACGATGCAGCGACCGCGGCTGGCGGAGATTGAGCATCCGGGAAGGGGTGAGGGAGGGGTTGCGGGGCGCGCGTGTGCCCGGCGCACTGATGCTGGCAACCAGAGCAGAGGCTGCGAGCTGCCGGCGCACCTGCCCCGCGCCCTCCTGGGGCTGGACAGCGTGTTCAGGACTCAGCTGCGGCGGCAGCTGGAGAAAGGGAACCCTTGGGGTTGGAGGTGCAACGGCGGATCGGGCATCGGAGAAAAGGAGGACTGTGCGTTTGGGGCCGGGGGTCTGCGTAGAGCCGTAGGAGCGAAGGGGCGTTGCATTGTGGGAAGGGCGCAGCGTGAGGACAGCTGCGGGGGTGGCTGGTAGAACACGACCCCCACAAACCCCTGGCAACGCCTGGAGCTGCGGGCAGCGATGGAGCAGTGTGTTGGCTCTGGGGACAGCCTGCAGGCGGCCTGCTAGGCCGAAAGGCAACCGAAATGACTAGGGGAGCAGGGTACGTGACACCTTTGGAAACCCTTTGTCCCTTGCCCGCAGCGGGAGGCGCCTCCCCTCTTCCGGATCCAACACCCACAGACCTCGCCAGCCCTCGCTGATATCTGTGCTGTGCACCTCTTGGGGACTGGGTGTGATGTGACCGGAAGGATGTGCTGAACTCAAGCGCGCACCTGTCTAGGCGCGAAGAGACTGAGTCCGCCGTGCGTGATTCTGCTCCAAGAAAGGGGCAACTAGGTCTGGTCTCCCTTTCTTTTGCTTACTCTGTTTCAGGCGCAGCCCCTTTTAACTGGGCACTTCCTTGCAAAGAATTATGTCTCTTTAAAATGGCGACAGGAAATCCCACCTGCGAGTCAGCCAATGAGACCAGACATCCTAGCACGAATTTGCAGGGTGGAAACTCGAGCTTTGCATTGACAGGCAGGGATGGCTCAGACTTCGTGTTCCATCAAAACAGGAAAGAGAAGGTGAATCATGATTCGAAAATTAATCCACCTGGAGTCTTTTAAGCAGGCTGAGTAGTCACTGTATTGCAGTGGCTGGCTTTTTTTTTTTTTTTAAATCACCGCTGGAAAAGTGAGGTGACACCAAATTTTAAGCTCCTGATTATTGACTAAAATTCTTGTACTCTTCAAATGGCAGTTAATGAGCTTGGTTAGTTCAACAGTAGCTTCCAGAATACCCTATTTGAAAGGCATGTTCTTGAATATACCTGAGAAACCAAAAGTTAGTGCAAACAGGAGAAAAATAGCCAGCCTGGTTCACAGACCTGTTGAAAAGAAGAAGAGGGAAAACGGAGACACTCAAGGAAAGGAAGAAGAGAGAGACACTCTGGGAAAGAATCTGTGACCTTCACAAGCAGCAAGCCTTTACTGGGGACGAAAGACCTGAGAGGGACAAGAGCACGTTTTTCTTACAGGCTGGGGTTCTTAGGCATGTGGTGGGAAAGGGGGAGGGTGGAAAGGGTCGGTATTTGGTAGTGTGGCTGGAAGAGAGGGTAGGAGGAAGGCTGGACATTGGAGGGAAGGCTATGGGGCTGGGAAATTCTGTGTGTTGTTTTCTCGTGCTCATTCATCGGGGTAGCCATATTTGCATTGTTTCCAGTGTTTTTCGGCATCCCAACATGCTAGGATTTTTGCTATATAGGGCAAGGGGTGCACTGTTGGTCTTCTGGCTACATCTGGCTGGCTGGGGGCCACATTGGGTGGGGGGGGTCACCAAGCCTGGAGAGTTTGTAGAAGCATGATGGCCTTGAGTTGCTCTCCTGAGGTAGTCCAGGAGATGGCGGGGATGTGTTCCTGTAGAAATCTTTGAAAAACATTAATAAGGCGTGGTAGGAACATTAGGGCCAGACAAACAAGGATGAGAGAAACCGCCAACGAGATGAGCCATGGATATAAAGAGGAAAGAATGTTAGTAGGTTGTGTGGAAGTCAGCTGTTGTGCCTTTTCCTTTGAGGCTCTTTACCCCGACCCTGACTATGCCAGACTTGTTGGTGAAAAACTAACAATCTTCCCCCACAAAAAGGCATAAACCACCTTTTTCAGCTGTTTTTACCTGTTTTGTAAAACTACTGCCACTAGGGAGTCGATCTGGTTCTGGATTGCAAAGATCTGTAAAGCATTATATTAAGGCTTTCCTTCAGAGCCTCTGACAATTTTTGGAACTGGCTAATTGACATTCCTAGTCTGGCTGAACCCATCTCAATTCCGGTGAGAAGGCCCAGTCCCACCACCAAGGGGGTGAGACTGACATCCCTTTTTGTACATATGAAGTTAACAATGGGGATTAGGATGATTTCTGAATTGGTGGTGTATGAGACTGGGGGGATTAAGAAGGCAAATATACAAACTCCTGTCCAGTTAGTAGGCAAACGTATATATTTGCTACCCACATAGGAGGAAGATTCCTGTGGAGGGGGAGAGACACCCCATTAATTTGAAGGAGAGGGGGGTTCTATTCAATCTGCATTCTGCTCTCTCTAGTACAAATGGAAAGAGATGGAGAGGGAGGCTGTTAGAAGGGGCTGTAAGGAGGGGGGGAGAAGCATTGGTGGGTGTGGGAGATTCCATAATGAGTAGATGGGTTGATAGGTAGAGAAAGAGCAGGGAATGAGGTGTGAATAGAAGTTTGCAGATAGTCTTGGAGAAAAGGTTTGGGTAGAGTCCTGGTATATTGAAGACTGGAATGGCACTAGGGTGACATCTCCCATTAGAAAAGTCTGAAGTGGCTTCGGTGAAGTTGCAGGGGGTGGGGGATAGTGGTGTGACAAAATGGGTAAGTTGGGGGTCAGGTAGTAGGCCACTTTGAGGTGCCTGTACCTGCTGCCTCTTCCGTTAAAGAGTTTGAATTGCCAATGATGGGGAGGTGGGAAAAGAAGGGTTTGTGTGCACCGGGAGATATTAAGGGAGCCTATTGGCTGAGAATCCGGAAAGTGGGGTCTTTGTATGCATAAAGGGGCTGTCCCATAGAAGCCAGCCTAAGCAATAGAGTCGTTATAGGAGGAGGCACTTTTGGAAGAGTAGAATTCTGAGGATTTCCCAATAGGGTGTTAGTTGGAGTTTTAAGTCAAATAAAGCCTGGGAAGTGGATTCGGCATTATTGCTTGGTGAGCAGCGGATGAAGAACACGGTGCCTAGACGAATTGTGTGTGCTTTGATACAGGGATCCGCATGTGGTGGTCCAGTCTACTAAAGTGGCAGGGTGTGCAGTCCATCCCTTTTCAGTGGATGAAATACAGATCCAGCAAAAGGAGAAATTAGGATTGACAGCTAAAAGTAGTTGGGCGGAGGTGTTAATCAAGGGACAGTATGCAGTTAGAGGGGGTGGAGCAGTCACTGCCTGTCAGAGAGGTAGGATGAGGAGTGCTTGTGCAAAGGGAGTGGAGGCAAAGGAGAGAGTCATTGTGAGAGGAATGCTGAGGATTGAGTGTAAAGAAAAGGCAAAAGGATAAGAAGAGTATTTGGTCCAGTGTGAAGTCAGTGAGGTCTCCCTGTAGCCAAAGACCCAAGACGGTCTCCTGGAGGTCATCTTGTGGCGGATTCTTAAGTCGGTTTTTTGAAGTACTTGAAGAAAGGTCTGGTAGAGTTAGAGGAGTTGGTTCAACTGCTTCCGGATGGAGGCAGACGGGTCATATGGGTCTTGGTGGGTCCAGTCCTGGAACACAGAGAGCAGGAGGGGGCGGTACATCGAGGGGAGATGAGGTTCACTTTATAGAAGAGACATGTACCCAGGGTTTATATATACCTGAAGTTTAACTGCAGTGGGGGTTGTTAGAATAACCCGGAGGGGGCCCTTCCAAGGAGGTTATAAGGGGAGAGGGGGTACCGGTCCCTTGTAATAAACCCATTCCCCAATCTGAACCAGGTCGGGGTTTGAAGGAGAAGAAGTGGGTTTGGGGAGGTGGGTATCCACGTGTGCCAAAGGTGTTGTCTTTATGTAGGGTAATAAAGAAGAAAGCAGGGAAGGGAGAATGTTAGAGTACCGTGGGAAGACCCGGTTGTTACAAGGGGCAGCTGTACATTGCCTCAAAAGGGCTAATTAGCAGAGGCTTTTGGGGGAGAACTCAGGTTCAGAGGAGAGCTAAAGGTAGTAGTTTGATCCAATCCATTTGGAGTTCCTGAGTAAGTTTGGTGAGTGTGTTTTTTTAGGATGCAGTTTGCCTTTTCCACTTTTCCAGGGGATTGTGGATGGTATGGAATATGGAAGTGCCATTTTGATCCAATATAAGAGGTTAGTTGTTGAATGACAGTAGAAGTAATTTCTGGCCCATTGTCTGATTGCAGCAATGCAGGAGACCAAAATGGGGGATGACTTCCTTTAAAAGTATGGTGGCTACTGTGGAGGCTCTTTTGTTAGTAGTAGAAAAAGCTTTGATCCATCCTGTTAGAGTGTCAATGAAAACTAGAAGATGCATTTAACAAGGGGCATGTTAGTAAAGTCCATTTGCCAGTCTGACCCAGGCAAGTGACCTCTTGCCTGATGGGTGGGAAAAGAGGAGGGCAGGATAGTTGATAAAGGGTTGGTTTTGGAGTATATGGGGCAAGAAGATGAGATTTCCTTTAGCATTTTGTGGAAGCCGGGGTTGGAGGCAATATGGGGTTTCAATAAAATGAAGTAAGGACAGAGGGTTAGAATGAAAGACTTGATGAAGGGCAATCAATATGGGTTTAATTTGTTATTCTAGTAGAACAAGGGTATTATTAAGAAACTAGTATCCTTGGTGTTGGCTAGGCCCCTGAGTTTTTAATAGTTCTGTCTCCTTTTCTGTGTAACTGCAGTAAACTGGCAGAATGGCCTCGGGAGGCATTTGTTAGGCCGCCTGTTTAGCAGTAATGTCTGCTAAGTTATGGCTGATGGGTATGAAAGTGTTATCCTTTTGATGTCCCTTACATTAGAGGATGGCAGCTTTGTGAG